TTAAGACAAAAATAAAGATTTAGTGACAGAGAGAGAAAAAGAAGCAAATGAGAAGGAGAGAAGGAGGGAGTGAATGAGAGAGGGAGAATGGAAGCTAAAGAGTACAAGAGAAAGTGAGGGAGAATGAAAGCTAAAGACTAAAAGAGAAAGTGAGGGAGAATGAAAGCTAAAGAGTACAAGAGAAAATGAGGGAGAATGAAAGCGGAAGTCGAAATGAAAAAAAGAAGATGAATGCAAGAGAAATAGTGAAAGAGACGGAGAGTACGAATTAAATAAAGAAAGAGAAAACACTCCATTGGAAAATAGAGCCGATGATCGACATGAAGAGAAATAGAGTAAAAGGAAAAAAAGAAAAGAATAATGAGTGAGAAACAAGAAAGGAGGAAGAAGAGAAAGAGGGAAGATAAAGTTAAACAGAGAAAATGAAAAACAGGAAGGTTATGCGAGAAAAATGAGGGAGAGAGACAGCGAAGAGGAAGAAAAAGTGGGAAAATAAAAAAAGAGTAAAATCGATAGAAAATAAACGAGAAAAGAAACAAAAGAGAGAAAAAAAGAGAAAACAGACATGGAAGAAGGAAAAAACAGAAAAACACCATGAAAAAGATTGGAAAAGAGAGAACAAGAAAGAGGACGAGAAAACGACAGACCGAAACAGATTAAGAAAATGAGAGAAAGGAGAAAATGAACGAGAGATAATTCGAAGAAATAATCAATATACAGAGAGAGACAGAGAGAGAGATTGAGAGAAAGAGCTAAAGAAATTAAAAAAAACTGAAATAAAATAAATATATATATAGATAAAAGGTTCCGTTCGAAATCCCAACATATATTCCTTGAAGAAAGCTGGAGTGTGTAAAAATTCAGGTATAGATCAAATGGAAATGTAAAAATACAATATGCATGAAGACAAATGGGACACTTGTAATACGCGCCACATTTCTCTGAATCTAACAAAATTATGAATCCGCACCACGGATTCGTTCAGACATCGGCTTGATTGAGGGGAATTAATAAAAAGAAAAACTCCTTTCCTAAAAGATATACTCTTTCCTAAAAGATATACTCTTTCCTAAGAGATATACTCTTTCCTAAAAGATATACTCTTTCCTAAGAGATATACTCTTTCCTAAAAGATATACTCTTTCCTAAGAGATATACTCTTTCCTAAGAGATATACTCTTTCCCCAAACCAAGGTACATAAGCATATAAACTAAAAGAAAACCCTTAAAGTTAAAATCCTCTATTATTTGAAATACATTCAAAATATTTTTAACAGATATAAATTCAGAAATAAAATTCTCAGACTATAATATATATATATATATATATATATATATATATATATATATATATATATATATAGATAGATAGATAGATAGATAAGAGTACGCTGTGTGACGAGTGTTTCAAGTTTCTACGTTGAATTGCTTATAAAACTTATTTACAATAAATATTACAACCTTAAAAACTATATTTTTTATATATATATATATATATATATATATATATATATATATATATATATATATATATATATATATATGCATGCATGCAAGGCCTAGATGCTGGAGTGAAGCAGCACGTTCCGTCAAAGTTCCGAAACCGGAAGTACACTCCCTCGGACATTCTGACCAATACGTATGGGTCTTCCATCACAGAACACCTTATAAATAGCCATAATTGTGCTTTTAGTTTTAGTGAGGACGCTTTTACCATCCTCAGTAAGTCCCACTCAAATTACCACCTAAATGTGTTGGAGGCCATCTATATTCTATCTTTAAAGCCTTCTCTTTGTAAACAGAAGGACTTTGTATTAGGCCTCCAACTAATTACCATTTAATTTTTTTCCCCGTCAATAAACTTTGTCCATGGTTCTTTTTTTATTATATCATTTACTCTATTTACCTCGATTTAGCTCTGTTGAGCGTCGTACGAAAAAACAGTTAGCTAGCCTGTTTTTCATTTTACTTTTTATTATCATGAGTGGTAATAATAAAACTATTTTTCGTCCATTCATGCCAGTGATAAAATTTTGTACCAAACAAATATATATATATATATATATATATATATATATATATATATATATATATATATATATATACTGTTTATAACTTTAAATAATCTATCAGTCATAATGAGAATTATTCCCTGGCTTCTATCTTCAAATCCATTCAAAAACCATAAAGGGAACAGTGAATCAGTTTACAAAAGAGGGAACAGTAAAGAAGAAAATTGAATCAGGAGGTCACAACAGGAAGCGGGATCATCATTTCAAATTAAAGAACTAAGGAGATCAGTTAGAAAGGATCCAACTCTGTTCGGCACGTGAGAGAGGAGTTCAGCTATGATACTCCAAATAGAAGTTTGAAATGAAAGAGAGTTCGAAAATTTAAATGTACGTGAAATCAGGGAGACACATTGTTAGTCCAGGATAGAAAGTTAGAAGTTTGGAAAGGGCGAAGATCATCTTGAATAAGTTAGAAAATGATCCTGAAATAATATATATATATATATATATATATATATATATATATATATATATATATATATATATATATGTTTCATTTAAAACGACAGACAAGGTACTACGGTTGAGCTTTTATTTAATTTTTTTTGTGTTCTGACAAGAGCTTTTTTTTCTGGAAAAAGGGTGTGTAAGAACTGTCCGAATGTTTTGTATTTTCGAGCGCTTTCGGCTATACCTTTAGCCATTATCAAGGATGATTCGATTATCAGCTTAGTTGAGTTATTGCGTTCTGTGTATGTATCAGTGTGTGGTAGGGATGTTTTTAATTTCTGAATACGGTTAGCACATTGTGGCTTTGTTCATAGTTAATATTGTTAAGAGTTGGCTTTTCTTTTTTATTATTAGAGCTTCCATTATTTTTAGTCTTTTTTGCAAGTGGATGCAGTTAATATATTTTGTTTTTCTATTATGTTCATAATATTGTATATATATATATATATATATATATATATATATATATATATATATATATATATATATATATATATTTGAACTTACTTTGAACCCTTCATGAGCTTGCGATACTGATCTATGCTTAATTAATGATGAACATGTTATTGTTTATGATCAAATTCATCACGATTCTTCTGTTAAGCTTGGAGAGTAATCATATATTCTCACTGCTCAAATTAGAGTCTAATAGCTTTATAAAAACCTCGGAAAATTCTAGTAATATATCTTTAATCATTTCTAAGTTTGGCTTTGGAATTATTGATTTAAAGATGAAAGTATGATACATTTTTGTTTCTTCAAGAGTTAAACAAGCTTTGTTTACCGTATCAATGAGCAGAGATTACTTAACTGGGACTGAGTGTGCATAATCACTACGCCTTGATCGACAAAGTTTCTATAAGATTACTCCCAAACGACTCATGGCAAGGACATTTTACATTATGCTATCCCATAAACCGGCGGCACCGAACTATTTACTCCACATAACTTACCTCGCCAGACCTGGTGCAATACTTTTTCATGGTTTTCAAGACATTCTCAACGTCACAGAGAGGTGGAATCTTTTCATCCGGCTGTAGTACCAATATTTAAGCTCCGAAAGTGAGATATAAACTATTCACTTGTGAAAAGATTAATTTGCTAATTGAATTGACACATTACCTATCTGACACGTATTATAAATTTCTCGGTTTTCCTATTTGAATTATCTGACGTACCAGAATTTAATGATTTAATAAGCTCCTTTCGAATTCCCTGTCTATAAAATACCCACTGGCATTTCCTTATTGCAACGTTAAATATGTGTGTTTAATAACTAAATATTGCAATACCAAGAAAGCGATGCACTTCGACTTAGTGTAATGATTAGTAAGTTTGTTTCGCTAAATGGATTATAAATAAGTAGTGTGTCCAATCCTCTTGTGCCATATCTACGCTACGCTTAGAAAATGAGCGTAATTATAAAGACAGATCATTATTTAAAGAAATGAACAGTAAAAATGAAAATATTTAAATCTGACAATAACTATTTTTATTGTTTCGCTTAAGCAGGCGTAAAACATGCGAGAAGAGTATCTCCTCCCCCCTACTTTTATTACATTCTGTCTGGTTTTCATTCTTTCAGTTTCTTCCTGAAACAAAGCAGGGTCTACGGAATGTCTTTCCGGACTTACCTCAAAACGGAAAAGTTCATTATCTATGAGGTATTGGCAAGTAGGTTTTCTTACTTTCCTTTTACTTCCTTCCTTCCTTCCTTCCTTTCTCTCTCTCTCCCTTCCTTCCTTCCTTCCTTCCTACCTACCTTTCTTCCTTCCTTCCTTCCTTCCTTCCTTCCTTCCTTCCTTCGATTCTTTGTTTCTTTCTTTGAAAGAAAACAGTAACTCTTATATGTCTTTTACGCTTTTCCTCGTGATCAAAACAGAACATTCCATTATTTATTAAGTATACCTGAACATGACGTACGTGGTAACTAAGGAAAGATGTGACAAACATAATATATATATATATATATATATATATATATATATATATATATATATATATATATATATATAAAAGAGAGCGAGTAAAATTTAAATTCAAACGATCAAAGAATTAATTTAAAACACGGATTAATACAATAGTAGAGTGATAATTCTTTATTATAGGATATTACATTCGGACATACGTAAAACCTCTACATCAAAGCATTCATGTTTCGGTGCACATCATCTCATCGCATCAGGCGCCGGTAAATGAGGGTTATTACAATTCTTTTTAATATCTCAATATGTACAATCATTTTTTCCCGCAAAAAAGGAAAGCGTACCGTTGAGTTAAAAAGAATATGCAAGACGGTAGGATGAAGCTAGCAGTGTGCATGGAGAGAATTGTTTTTTTACGCCGGAAAATAAGCGGTACGGAGATCTGGCATTCGACGCCAGTCGGATTAAATTTCTTGTACAATCCGTGTATGATTTACTGCCGAGTCCTGAAAACCGGTATACTTGGTGGAAGATTGAGACAACATCATGCCCACTCTGTGCCAGTAAAGGTACGCTGAAACACGTTCTAAACGCCTGACCAAGGTTCCTTGGTGATCAGTGTTACTGATGGAGACATGACCAGGTACTTAAGTCATTGGCCCAAGTTGTGGTCTCAGCAATTAATGTCAGCATTTTCCTGAAACGAAGGTGATTAATTTCGTCAAAGACGGCGAAAACCTCACCTCAGCAGCTGAGTGTAGACATCGGGTGCCAGTTGAAATTCAACATCTTCCTGGTGCCCCGATTTAATAATCTGGTGAATTGTCTGCAGTAAAGTTGTAATGATTGAAATTACGGTACCTTTGGAAGAGAAATCGGAAAAGGACTTTGAAAGAAGGCTAAAAAATACCGGGAGTTGGTAGAGAAATGAGAAATCATTGGCGGACTACCTAACTTTCGATTGAAATCGATGTCCTGGTTTTGTAGGAAGATCTTTTATATAGAACACTAAGTCGACTTTGATATATATATATATATATATATATATATATATATATATATATATATATATATGTATGTATGTATGTATGTATGTATGTATATACCCCCCACACACATTGATTATAGTGGTGAAGGCTTTGTGCTGAA